CAGGGGTTAAGGGAGAAGTTTCTGCATGCACTAGTATCCCTAGTATGTTACTAATTTTATGCTTTATTGTAATCCATGTATATTGATATACTTATTCCATGATAATTCTATGTTTATCCTTTTGTGTGATGTAAATTAAATGTTGAATGGCGGTTCATACAGGGAAAGAACATATCAATATTGGCATATTCATTCAAAAAATGAAAATTCTTAATGGAGTACCCTCATTTCTTATTGAATTCCTAAAAAACAATATTTATAATGAATTTTAATAATTTTTTCGGATTTTTTTGAAGCTTTATTCTGACCGATTCACCCGATTCCCGATCCGGATCGCCGATTCGCCAATCCGGATCGGTTTTTTGAAAGCCCGATCCGGGTCACGGATCCCGTTTTTAAACCATTGCGTAAAACCATTTTTTCTCATCTCCATATATTTTGAGGTTGAGAATCGAAGGTTTTTAACATCGAAATAACCTCTTCTAATAAATTTTTAAGGTGCGCCCCTCGTATAAACTTGGGGATGTATATGTTAGAGCGAGTCTCCATTTCCAAATTCCATATTGGAAATGGATTTCCAATTTAAAACTTTGCAGGCATATTATGTAGACCAACATGATCATGAACTTTGAAAATGGTTCATTGTGTACTTTCTCCTACCGTTTATTTTAACTCTTCAAAGATCATCCGGTCTACAATGTTTTTGGCACTGCAAAGTCAGTGATGAGAGGCAAAATGGATTTACAATAATTTGTGATGTGTTTCAACTTTCAAGCCCTAAATCCCTCAAAAACCAACACGGACGTGTGAATCAACCAATTGTGATAGCATAGAGTAAACCATCATCATCATCAAAGCATTTTTCCAACTAATTAGGGTTACCTAAATGAATTCTAGTTTGTCATTTATCTCCATTAAAGGTCATACCCTCATAGAAGCCATAGGTCCCTATATTTTTTCTCAACACTTCCATCCATATCTATTTGGGCATGTTCCTTAACGTTTTTTAGCCTTCCATTTGAACTAACTCGTGCTTTCTAACATTTATTTTACTGGATCTACGAGCCTATCTAAATGTATTCTCTCTCTCATCTTATTTTTTATTAGTGTCACACAACAATTTTCTCAAATATATTCATTTATTAAGTCATTTACATAATTTTACTCTTTGATTTTCCTTTTTAAAGTCTACTCTTTGACTTTCCTTTTTAAAGTCCAACAACTAAAAATGATTGAAATTTTGGTCGAAAAATTCAATGAAATTTTGTACCATATAGTTACACAAACACAAGGTTTTGCCCAATGTACAAGCCCCTTTGGACACTGCGTCACAAATTACAGATGTTATATTCCAAAAGTGTTCCAAAAAATAAAAATAAAATATTCTCTACAGTCTCCTTTGGACACTGCTCAAATTACAACTATTGTGCTCCAAAAAAACTCAAAAAGAAAAATTATTTCCTATCTTCTAAAAATAAACCCATAAATTACAGACTTTTTAAAGTGTTTTCTTTTTTGTTACAATAATTTCAAAGTATAATCTATTATTTTTACAAAAGCTAAAAATAAAACTCTGTTGTAAAAGTTCCAAAATTACCCTGGCCTTCGGCCTCTATTCTCAATGGACTCATCAGAGGCGCATCAGCCACTCTCTCAAAGAAGTCCATCAACTCCCCATCAAACTCCAAAGAGAGGACGTCCCCGAAATTTCTCGAAAATCCGAGGTCGATTTCCTCTACCCTTTCATCTTCAATTTCGCCGAAACTTTCCGCTACGAAAATCTCGTTCGCCGCCTTGAGAGCGGCGGCCTGAATATCTCGCCGAGAATTCGACGCGGGCCTCGGCAGAAACTCGGCGAGTTCCGGGAAATTGAGCGCCGATTTGTTTCCCTTGAGGAAAAAAGCTGCCGAGTCATAGGCCCGGGCCGCCATTTCCGGCGATAAAAAGGAACCCAGCCAAATTCTCGTCTTTTTTTTCGGCTCGCGGATCTCCGATACGTATCGGCCCCAGCTTCGTTTCCGTACGCCCCGGAACGTGGTTTTCTGGTCGCCTGGGAGCTGGTTTCCGGCGGTTCGTTTCACCGGAAAATCTGTTCCGGCGAGTGATTCAGGGACGGGAGAGTTGGCCATTGTTGGGTAAGAAATGGCTCTAGAAGAAGGGGTATATCTTTTACCCTTTTTGAGGAAGAGGTTTGTTAATTGGGTTTAATGGGGAATTTTGGGTTAATATGATATTTTAGGGGTTTGGGGTCTTATGAGAACAGGCTTAATAGGGAATTTTGGCATTTGGGGTAAGCCGGAAATGAGGTTTAATGAGGGGTTATAGGTCACGGAAAATGAGATGAAAGTTGGGCTTTTGGGTGTCTCGAAAATGCGGTTTAACGAGGAATTTTTGGCTTTTGGGTTGGCCTGGAAATGGGGTTTAATGAGGAATTCCTGATTTTGGTTCGCCTGAAAATGAGCTCAATGTTGAATTCTGGCCGGTCGTTATGGGAACTCCAATCAAGAGACGATGACTGTAGCCGTAAAATGCAGTTCAACGGAGAGTTTTGGTGGGTACATGGAAAAAGACCATCAATGGGGAATTATGAAAAATTTAGACTTAAGAGCGTAGATTAGGAGTCGCCGGAAAATGAGTTTTGATGTTGAATTCCAGCCCGCTGATATGGGCACTACAATCAAGGGTCTATGATTTTCGCCGGAAAATGTAGTTCAATCCGGAATTTTGATGGGTGCTTGGAAAAGGACCATCAACAGGGTGTTGAAAGGAAATCAGGCTTGGAGATCAGGATTAAGGGTGGCTTGCAAATGAGATTTAATGGAGAATTCAGGTGACGAGGTCACCCCTAAAGAGAAGATTAAGACAAAGGTTTTCACAGAGAGAGAGAGATGAATCGGTGTTTTGGGACTAAGGTTTAGGCGTCTCTTTGGGAATAAAAATAATCACCATAGAGATTTGGACATAAAATGAGGCCTAAAGTTTGCAGGTTTTGAGGCATGAAGTGGAAATCAGTGGTGAGAGGAGATGGGTTTGTGTAGGGTATAAGAAGTAGAGGGGGGAGAAGCTGAGCTCTCACTAAGCTGGCATGTGGGGTAGGGTTTAGGGTTTAGAACTTTTGATTTATGCACGGAAAGGTACATATTCAAAGTATGAATGGATCTGAAGGGCCCCCAAAATCAATAATGAATTAAGCCATGAGGGAGTATGTGCAGTCTATATATTTAAAAGAATTGTCTTTATGTAGGGTAGGTATAAATAAATTTTTTCCTTTTTCCTTTTTTTTTTACCCTTCGGGTGCAGGGGCTGCCGCTTATGAAATTTGGTAAAACTACACCTCATAGCGTGCTGGAAAAATGTAGTTTTGGCATCGAAAACTTTATAATCCGCTAAATCTATATTTATGTTTTATTAAGGCTTGAAATCCTTTTTTTTTTTTTCATATCATGTCAATGAGATCGAGATTATCGGAATGTAAATTTTTTGGTGCGAAAGGTGATATTTGAGGTGTGACTCTATAAAGCCGTGGCCTACGAAATAATTTCATTTTTATTGAAAGGATGCAGTTCCTATAAGGCCTAGGTCTTATGAAAGAAAATGCAAATCCTCACCTTGATACATAAAATACTTTGGGAATGGGAAATCTCTCCGATAGGCTCTAAAATTAATTGCCATCACTGATTAGAAAATTTGAAGCTCAAAAAACAGTACAGATCTTTCGGATCCATAAATATTTGAAAATAAACGCTCTTACAAATATATTATAATACACATATTTTAAAAAAACTCCTAATTTTTTTCACAACCATAATCGTCAAGGTTGAAAAAATCGATTCGAAGGTTTTCTAGGCTAGAACTACATTTTTCAATGAGTTTTTATGTGAGGCTTTGTTCTGGAGTGCTATTTCTTTTTAAAATGGTTTAATTATCAATTAGAGAGGAGTGGTTTGAATATGAAGAAGAAGCACGGAAGGTGAATATTTTTTAGTTTGGGGACGAAAATGTCCTTGATTTGCTTTTAAAATCATCAGCATGCCATGTGATCTTGTACACATAGTAAACCCACTTTGATTAATAAAAGCTCAAAGCTTTTGGTGTGATTCTTAATTTGGGTATAATTTTTATACACATGTTAACTATTGATATAATATCTTCGTACACGACTTTTGGAGTAATTGTAAAGATGGATATGATTTTACATACTCATTTACCTAAAAAAGGTTTTGTACACAAAATATGGACGAACTTTATTAGTAAGGGGAGCATTTCGCATGGGAAAAAGTTTATATGAGCGTGAGGTCTTAGAAAAATCAAATCAAGGCGCACCTCAAAAAATTATTAAAAAAGGTTGTTTTAATGCTGAAAAACCTTCAATTCGATCATCTCGATTTCAAGATGTAGGGACATGAGAAAAAATAAATTTCAAGTCTGAAAAATAGTGCATTTTGTAATATATTATCTAGATTGTCAATTTTAAGGATTTTAATTGTTTATAAATCAGCTCGATCTACACTATTTTTTAACTTTAGATTTCATAACTAGAGATAAAAATAAATTTTTAGACCATCATAAAGATTGATAATACTTAAAAAGTATATTTTGACACTTACTTGAAAGTGCATCCCATTTTGATTGTTTAGGGCCTCGGCCGCCTAATACAAACTACAACCTTGCTCATAGGGCTGCAGCTTTACATAATTAAATGTTGCCTCAGGATTAAAAATCTGTTTTCTTCTTCTTAGATCCATAATCATTGAGATGGAAATGATCAATTTGCAGGTTTAGCGTTGCATTATCCAACTGCATTTGAGTTTCCTACTAAATATTTTTCCATTATGAGAATTGAGACAGTAAATAGATTACCGGAAAATTCGTATCTCTAATGCTCAAGAGTCAAGAAGAGGAAATTGTGCGTCTCTGAAACGAGGTTCAAAGAAGATGGGTTTGTGCGTTCCCATTTGAACGTGTTTCCAAGCATTCCAATCCACCATGAAATTTCAAAAATACGATAAAAGAAAAAGGTTTATATAAGGTTGCACTGTTACACTATAGAAGTAAAGTTGACCTCAAAACTTCAATAGAAAAGAATTTTCTATAGTTTGACAACTTTCGGATTCATTTTTTCGACTTCAAGATATATGGATATAAAGAAAAAAAGATTTTTATGTCCGAAAAATGATGCATCTCTTAATAAGTTTTTCGGGACCGTCTACTTTCAAGATTTTCAAGTGTTTATACGTCTACATGATCTGCCCCATTTTTTAAATTTTAAATTTCATAATTAAGGTTGAACATGAATTTTTAAGCTATTCAAAAGTTTCGAGCACTGGAACTACATCTTCGGAAAAAATATAGATTTGCTCCTCACTTGTATTGTAGAAAGTGGGCACTTTATACAAACCTCACCTCGAATCTTCGTTTGGAATGCACTTTAGGCATCAAGAATCTCTATGATAGCTCTCAAACCCATTTCTCACATTTACTATGAAATTTAAAGCTAAAAAATGATATAGATCTCGCAGACCCATGAATATTTATTTTTAAGACAAAATAAACAGTTTCGATAATACGCTCTACTATAAACTATTTTTAAGGCTTGAAATACATGTTTTTTCTTTTTTATTTTTCACGACCACAATCGTGAAAGCATAGATAACCGATCTGAAAGGTTTTTTAACATCGGGACAAGTATTTTCAGTAAGCTTTGAGGTGGGCCTTCACTTATTTTAATAGGACTTGAGCCCTATAAAAACATTCTACCTTTCAAAATGGACATTTTTCGACATTATAAGGTATGGAGTGCAGTTCTCAAAGTAAAATCAGTTATGTGATCGAATAGGTTTAGTTTGTCATTGCATGGGGATGGGACGTCATATAACGCGTTTAGACAGGCTGGAGTGCATTTAAACTTCGAAGGACATATCAATGCCTTTTAAGGTTTGAAGGGTTAGAGAGAGAGAGAGAGAGAGAGAGAGAGAGTAAATTTAGTCAATTGTAGTAAGGGAGTATTCAGTAGCTGTCTCTACAACGAACATATCCTTATCTAGACCTACACTACTTACTTTCCTTGTAACTTCCACCCTCTCTCTCTCTCTCTCTCATACGATGTTCATAAGAGGAAAAAGTTTGAGATCGTTAGGTGCACCCTAGGAAAAAGTTTATATAAGGTTGCAACCTTAAAATAAAATGTAGACCACCTCAAAAATCTATTGTAAAAAGTTGTTTTATTGTTGAAAACCTTCTAATTGAGCTCTCGGCATCGAGTTGTATGATTATGAAAAAAAAAAATATTTTGAATTTCAAAAATAATGTATTTTACAACACATTATCTCGATCATACATTTTCAAAGTTTTCAGATTGTAATTATTTTTAGAGTTTAAAATTTTATAATTAGATATAAAAATAGATTTTGAGATAATCTTAAGAATATTTTACATCAATATTATATGTTATGATCAAATTTGAAGGTGCGCCTTAATTGGATTGTTTAAGGTTGCAACCTTATGAAACCACACCCACTATAAAAATGTGAAGGATATTGTGTTTGATGTAGGGGTGACAATAGATCCGGACTCGACTCATACCCGCCGGGTATACACGATATGTGTCGGGATATGAGTCCAAGTTTTGGACTTGCGGGTAGGGTTTGGGTCCAATAAAGGATATCTGAATAGTCCTGAATCCGAGTATGGGTCCTGCTATACTCGACCCGACAGGTACTCAAACCCGAATTTTTAATTTACCCAAAGCCCAAAGCCCCAACACTAAAAATCATTTTAATACCTTTCGTCTTCACTTAGTTCCCCAAACGGCCAAACCCCATCATCATCCTCCCTCTCTGCAATTCTCCCTCTCTCAGTTTCTTAGAGACATAACTATCTCTCTGGATCTCGAATGTCTCTCTCTCTAATCACCCACCCCTAAGAAATCAATTCTATGTTATTCACCATTGTAGGTTCCAAAATATGAAGCTCATTGTGAGGGTGGCAATGGACCAGACCAGACCCGGGACCCAACGGGTATGGGTATAGGTCCAACTTTTGGACCCGACGGGTCGCGGGTCCAAAATCTAGACCGAAATATATTCAGGTCTGGGTCTAGGTCCAGCCTGAGCAGACCCATACCCAACCCATTGCCACCCTAGTTTGATATAGGGATGGCCATGGTCCCGGACCTGGAATCGACCTGGGACTTGAGGGGTAGGCCCGAGCTAGGTCTGGTATGGGTCTAAAAATTATATCCCTGAGGATTGGGTTTGGATCCAAATCTTGGACCTGAGCACTATTTGTGTCTGCGTCTGCGTTTGGGTCCAGATCCGGCTGGACCCAAACTCGACCCCACATGTTGCCACCCCTAGTTCAATGTTGAAGGACCCACCATTCAATCATCTCGACCTCGATCTCAAGATTTATAGATATGAGAAAGAAAAAAAAAACAATTTGAGTCTAAAATTAATAAATCTTGTAACAAGTTATCTGGATTATCTATATTTAAGATTTTCAAATATGGATGTGGTTGGCATAAGGTTGTAACCTTAAACAATGAAAGTAACGTACACCTCCAAACTTTATTATGAGATGCAATTTTGGTATTGAAAATTTTTAGGATGGTGTGAGAACCTATTTTTATTTTTAATTATAAAATTTTAAACTCCAAAAAATGGTTTAGATCAAGTAGATTTATAAACACATGAAAATCCTGAAAATAGACGGTCTAGATGTTGTTTTGCAATATGTACTCTTTTTAAAACTTGAAATCTATTTTTTTTCTCTATATCTATAGATCTCGATGTTGAGATGATCATTTCATTTTTTCCAACATCCAAACAACCCTTTTTGAAGGATGTTAGACGTACATTTTTATTCTACATTTTAAGGTGTCAGCCTTGTATAAAGTTTTTCCTTTAAGTATTTATATATCTGCTTGATCCATATTATTTTAAAATTTATAATTTTATAATTAGGGATAGAAATAGATTTTCGAGGCATCATAAGGTTTACGATGCCCGAATTACATCTTCAAACAAATTTCAGAAATGCATCGTACTTCTGCCATAAAAATAGCACATCTTTTACAACCCTCACCTTTTTAAAAAATGGTGAATAT